ATGCAATAAAATTAATGTAATTATATCATTTATTATTATTTTCATTTTTAAAAATCTTATTTTATGTATACAATTATTTTTCATTACACATTAAACCTAATAATAAATATTCATTAAAGATTAGTTAATTAAAATAAAAGTTATTTTTAAAAAGTTAATTTGATTTTTAATTATTGTTTGTGAGAGTATATATTTCGACTTCTTTACATGCAAAGTATTTTTTTGCAAATATTAAACCACCTTGATTAGTTGTATCAATGTAACTTTTGGGAAAAAATATACAATTAGTTTTATCATTAAATCGATTTCTTAAACATAAATCACTGCCTTCATTCTTTGGAGAACCAAAATTAGGACCACATGTTGGATTATGACTTATTGCACATTGTTGATATTCTTTAGCGACGGGAAATTTTGTTGGTGAAATATTAAATGTATTTTTTAATGTAAATAAAAATGCTGTTGGATCAGCTTGATCAGCTCGTATTGTTGCTGAACTCCATGGTATTGATGTAAAACCACCAAAAATATTTCCAAAATCAGTTTGAATTATTGATACTGTTGGAGCATAAGATTCACAACAACGATGAAAATCAGCTGCATCATATCCATGTTCACTTGCTCGATAAATTAATTGCCATGTTTGATCTTGTGGTGCTATTGGAATATCATTACCCATAAATTCAATAAGTTTTTCTTCATATTCAGGAGTTAATAACAAACTTCCAGGAAAATAATTTAATCGATTTTCTGACGATACACACGATCTCCATGATGATGCTGTTTGAGCTGGATGAGGTTTCGATTTTAAAGGTAGAGATTGATTAAATGGTGATGTACGTACTATATTATTAGGTGTTGGAATAGGTGAATATGGTGATGAACGTGATCTATTAATCATTGGTCCAGGACTACATGGTGGTGATTGACTAGTACTACTAAATGGATTCATATTTATAAATGATTCTTCTTTTTTTATCATGAGATTTAAATCATCTTCTAAATTTTGTAATTTATAATATTTCGCTTCAATTAATAATTCTTTTCGTACGATTTTATCTTCAATAATAAGTTCACCTGTTCGAAGATATTTAAGAATATGATCGAATAAGCGTCCATCACGATCAATAAATATTGGATTGTCAATAGAATTTGTTTTATTCCATTTTTCTGTAATAAAAACTTTAAAAAATGGTGAATTTATTTGTTGTGTTAATGTTCTAATAGTTGTCGTAAATACTTGTCCACCAACATCAAGATATATTCGATTATCAGCATTTATTTCTAATTGTTTATTAATGTCAACTTGATCTTTTTTTAATTGTTCTAATTCTTTTTCAAGTTGTTCTTGTTGTAATTGCATTAATTGAATTGTTGAAGAAAGTTTATTAAAATTTTTTGTATAATTAATAAATTGTGTAAATTGTTGAGAAATTAAAATAAAATTTTGTTTTATTTCTGGAACTAATGTTTGAAGATTTTGTAAGACTTCCAAATCATTATCACAATTAGTATCATTTTCATTAATATTAATCTTATTATTATTATTTATTATGGCTGTAGTAATACCGTTAGTTTGTGACATCATTATTATAGTTTTTTTGTTGTTATAATGATAAACAAGAAGAAGAAGAAAAAAAAAGAAGAATAAAAAAAAAAGAAAAAAAAATTACTATTCTGACGTATTTATATATACTCGATATGATTTTTTTTTTATTAAGAGGCTATTTTTTATCAAAAAAAATTATTTTTTATCGATTCTGTCCTTTTTTTTCTATTTTTTTATTTGTCCAATTCTTCGATTTTTCCCAGAAGAAAAAAAACCCACTAACGACAATGTTGTAGATTTTATTTTACTGCAACACATGCGTTTATAAGTCTTTATTATTTTCTTTTTTCTTTTTCTTCTATATTTTTATCGTAATAAAAACATCGATGGAAATTATGTTGAAAAAACAAGCCGAGCAACTCAATCTTTTTTTT